TTTATGTGATTTTTGGCCATGGTTCTAAATTTTTGTTACAAACGTCAAAGTACCGATTGAAAGAAGAAAACAAAACAAAACAAAATAAAACAAAAAACCTTAAGCTTCTTTTTTCTGTTTCTAGCCACACCTTCAATGTTATGTAATGTTTTCAAACTCGGGAAGTGACCGAAATGCCTTCGGGTCAACTTCAATGTTATGTAATGTTTTTAAACTCGGGAATTGACTAAAATTAATGGCCTTCGAGTTATTGTGTCAATTGTATCAATAAATAAATAACAAAAATTAGATATATAGTAGTTTTGTTATAAATATAAATAAAAATATAGTAATTTATAAAATTTATATTTCATATTCTTACTATTATTGTCATTTATACAAATTGCATATAAATCATTTTTTAAGTATTTGAAAGTAATAAAATAGATAATTTTCATGTAAAATTTATACTTGGGAATCTTAATATTATTTGTCCTTCATGATCATGAAATCATACTGTAGAGACATAAAATTTGTGGCCAATCAAATGGCGCCACGTGGAAATTAATTTATTAAAAATCAAGTCATATTTTCTATTTATATTTTAGGAATTCCCATATATTTAATTCCTAAATTTAAATAGTTAATTAATTGATATTTTAATATTTTAATTCTTGACCAATCAAATAATGCCAAGTGTCAAATCTTAATTCTTGGTAATAAATCATATGGCATCTAGAAGATCTTGGAAGATCTAAGTAGATCTAAAAGATCTTATGTGAATCATCATGGACCAATCAAATCGTGTCCTACGATTCTTAAATTTGGTAGGGTTCTCCATCCTACACCTATAAATAGGGGCTCTCCCTAATGTCAAAAAAACACACATCATAATTCATATTCAAGTTCAAGAGCTCTAGAGAATTCTCTCGACGAGATTCAAGTGTTCTTGAAGATTTAAAGGCGTTCTTGAAGAATTCGAAGCAAGATTCAAGCGCATTCAACCTCAAGACTGGCGTTTAATCCGGAAACAAGCTGCAAAGCCTCCGAATAACGTTAGTAAATTCAAAGCCGGCGTAGAGAAGATTCAAGATCTACTTTGCGACGAAGACCAAGGATTCGTGTTCTTCAAGTTCTTGGGATATTTCGACGTTTGATCCGAAATCAAGGCGTTGGCCCTCGGATTAACGTTAATTCAAGTCAAATCAAGTCAAGGAGAAGATCAAGCCGAAGATTTCGCTCCAAGACTTAAAATTGTTCGTGAGAAGAATCAGAGGAGAAATTAGAGATTGTAACCTGCTATATTATTTTGATTCAAGAAATTCATTTGAATAATATTTTTCGTGTTTTTAAATTCAATACACGAAATTTGTTGTTACACATACCACATAAATTTTAAGTATATAGTATATACAGATATTTTTTATTCAAAATATTTTATATTTCAAAGTTTTAATGTTATATCCATGATTATAAAGAAAAAAACCATACATAAAAACATAAACGAATATTTAAATATTTTCAAAATTAAATAAACTTGAGCAATAAATAAATAAAAAATTAAATAAATTGGGCCGATCGAGCTGACCCACCCAGGCCAGAGCCAAGTCCAGTGGGCCGGCCAGCTGGTTTATGGTGTGGCGATTGCAATCCAGTTCGGGCGATTACCTGAATTGGTCTGCTTTAGCTTCGGGTCGACCCTCTAGTTGGGTGGGGTTGAAAAAACTATGTCGTCATGCACAAAACAAACATAAATGATAGGTCACATTATTCACATATATATTAAAGCATCTCCAACCGTATGTGAATTGTGAGATTGTAGAAGCAATCTAATAAGAGCACATTTGGTTTCCAAGATGGGATTTGACTATTTTTATCACTTGGTCCGGATTGCACTGTTAAGATAAAAGTGTTTCAATGTTTGTATTCCATGATTTGTGCTTTAGTTAAGAATGGATAAAAATATAACCTACATTTGTTTGCAGTGATAATAAGTTAGATTAAGGCATAGATTGACTAAAGTGCCCTTGTAGTTCTTCAACCACCTCTGTCATCCTTCTATTTTTTTCTATCTTTTTCCCCTTACGTATCGTTTGCATCTCTGTCTGGTGACACTAAATTGCTTTGAAAGTTTTTGAATTCTTCAGGTCATTCTTCCTACAACAACCGATGGTTCAAAATAGATCTGCCAAAAAAAAAAANGTTTTAAAACTTATGAACGGAAGAAAAAAAAAAATAAACTGGCCTGGACATAACAATAAACACAACAACACACACAAATCTGTCAACAAAAAAATAAAATTGATAAAAATTGATGAAAGTAGCGAAGGAATCGGATGGAAGGGACGACAGTATACCGGGCGGGGGTTGGGTTGGTAGAAGAGTGGTGTCGTTTGCAATAAGCTTTCCGAAAGCAAAGGTTATTTAAATTTTATTAACAAATGTATAATGCCTTTTTGGGGGCTAAATTGGTCAATTCATCAAACTAAAAAGGTGCAGATTAATTGGATCATGGGTACATGGGCGAGATTAATTAATCCTGGAATCTCAAGATTGTGGCATTTTTATCGCGGGCCGGACGTTTTATTGCGGGCCAGAATCATAGCTAACAAACACATGATTATTCAAGATAAATGTGCAAATCCTATCTAATCCCCCCAACCAAATTTGCTCTAAAAGAACTTTTCCAACAACGATTTTTCCACTTCTATTTGTGATGATGTGACATGAAAGAGAAACAATAATTCTAGAAGGACTTCTACATGTAGAAGTCATTCACTCATTCTAGACTTATGAATCATTTGCTTCCCATTATTTATAATACAAAATAAATGGATAACATGAAGATAGAATAAACCATTGGAGACTTTTTGAGCTTGAACATCAATTTGTTCCACGTGGATGGAAGACCATCTATTTGATTGCCACATACACTACAATTCATGTTCACGGTTGGAGATGCGCTTATAGTTGTCATATTTTCCACAATTCTTCGGTGTTTAATGGAGCTTAACTATGAATTTTGACCGATAGTCTTATTATTTATATAGGAAATTTCGGAGTTTGAGAAAAAAAAAAAAAAAAATTNGAAAAAAAAAAAAAAATTGCATACTTCGTAATTTTGAGATGAAAAAAATGTATAAACATATTTGAGCTAAGATGTGGCACGCAAATTTCCTTGAAATAAGAAAGGATTGTAAGATGTGGCATGCAAAAAGTATACACATATTTGAGTTAATGTGTGACTCGTACATAAAAAGAAACTCAATATATATAGAAAGAAACTCCATTAATATGAAATCGCACCACATTTTATTTTTAAATTACGAAATACATCAAAGTCCGAATAATAACTCAATCTCAGCACCCATAGTAACTCGATGGGCGTATGGCTTCTCAAAATCTGAATAACTCATGATGAGGTAGATATTATAATAATAACAATAATAATAAAAATAAAGGCTTGAATATATAAATGATTAACATTCGCAATGACAGAAATGATTTGGTGATGGCTTGGAAGATTCATATTTGCAGAAGCCTCCTTTGGTGCAATCAACGTTTAGGCACGCCGTGTTACACTTCTGATCATCATCACTCGTATGAGCGTCATTAGGTATACAGGTACCATTTTTAAAGTGATTGTCATGACAACATTTGAAATCCTCCTCCTCAACACTAAAACTAATCATACCTGCAAGAACATTACAAAATAAATAGAAAAAAACATTAATTAGTTAGTTAAGTCAAATATACATTTATATTTATAATATATATGTAGTACTTTAAAGCACCGAAAAAACATATAAAGCATTATATGTATATTCTTAAAGAGTAATTAAATAGAACATATTTAAAACCTGCTGATACAATGAGAAGGACAATAAACACGGGAAAAAATTTAGCACTAGCCATTATATATATTTTTATGTGTATGTCTATAATGTTTATGTGATCACGAGAGAATAAGAGAGCTTATATATATAGCATAAGTTTAGTTACGTGATCAATAAGTGTGGTATGTGATTGATACTATTTCTATTCAACATTTCTGTATGTAATGGATTATCTTTGATTTTCTTACCCATTAATACCGCAGGCATTATGTGAATAAGTTTGGTTATCTTGATTTTCTTACCCGTTAATGCCGCAGAGATTATGTGAAATGGTTTGGTATTTGATTGAAATCTTTTCTTTAAAGCGGTTTATTTTATAATTAATATTATCTTTTTATTTTTGTTATATTAACGATTTTTTAAGTGCCTAATTGATTTTAGGCATAACTAATCCCTTAAAATTACTGAAATAGTTGCTATAATTATAGAAATTTTTAATATTTTTTAACTAATTAATTAGTCATAATTCAATAAATTAAAATATATATTATTCATTATATTCTATGCAATCTATATAGTAATTCGTATATGAGTATATAATTTGTAATCATATTCATTTTTACTAATGATCATATTTATAAAATGTGATATACGCATTATCTAACTTATAAATTTAAATGTAATAATTGTACATGTGCCTTATAATATTTTACTTGCATTTCTGTATGTGCACAAAATTATGGTGCTTTTTTTATTCTGGGACTTTTTTAATGCGATTGGATACAGTGTTTTGTGACCTGGACTGGCCCGGTGGGTCGATTCGGGACCCGGTCGACCCGGAGCCAGAACCTGTTCAGGTGGAGTATTTGGACCGGGCAACCAAGGAACCGGTCAAACCCAGTCAAAACCCAGCCGACCCGGTCGAGACCCGGCCGGGTCAACCCGGTTGACCCGGTCCATATATTTTTTTTTTTTGGTTTTTTTTAAAATAAAACTATATATATATATATATATATATATGTTTATATGGTAAATATTTATCATGAGATACATATTATTAACACTTTAATATACAAATTTTATACACAAAACATTTAATTTTATTACTTTTATGTATATTTATATAACAAAAATACTCTATATATAATTTTAAAAATTTTAAAATTAATTATCCGGTTCAGCAATTGACCCGGTGACCCGATGGTTGAACCGGTGACCCGGTGACCCGAGGACCTGCCCGAGTCGATCACCGGGCCGGGTTTAAAAACTATGATTGGATATATGAATTTTTCAAAATAATTTGTCTCGTTCGAATTCGAGTATAACTGAGAGAGTGTTTGCGTGAATGACGTTTTAAATTTAGCAATTTACTAATCGTAGCTCTAATAGGTCAAAATATAATAAAAAAACGGCAGGATATGCAGAAAGTCGTGATATGGCGGAGTAAAATTTATAGACTGTGAGATGAAATAAGGGCAAATCGTTTTAGCTGGAAAGTTGTAGATTACATTTTAAATTGGTCACTTTTGAGATGTTTAAAATATTACAAAATCACATATGTAAATTGACTTTTTCTACTGTTAAAATATCACTTATGAGTTGTCCCACATCGTTTATACATTGAAAATAGGTCCACCTTATAAGACTAATGGGCTACTCCTCCTTCACCAATTAGTTTTGGGATGGAACTCTATTTTGGACTTCATATGGGCCTTCCCTTGTCATGGTGCACTTCATGTTAGTGAAACTGCACACATTTTCCCTCGGTTTCTTACATGTACAAAAGAAAAAAAAAATTGTAGATTAGAGAAAAAAAAAAATTGTAGATTAGAGGTGCTTCATGTTCGTAAAAAAGGAAAAAAATTGTAGATTAGAGGTGCTTCATGTTCGTTAGTGAGACCGCACCCGTTTTTCTCCAATTTCTTACATGTACAAAAGAAAAAAAAAATATTGCAGATTAACATGTACAAAAGAAAAAAAAAAATATTGCGCCCGTTTTCCCCCAGTTTCTTACATTTACAAAAGAAAAGTATTGCATATTAGAGGTTTGGTCATTTTCTAAACTTATTAGAAAATTGGCGAAAAATAATATCAAATTTCACTTAATTTTTTATTTTTAGTAGGACTCACTTAATGTAAGTGTTATGTATACAACTAGTATGTGTCCCGTGCAGTGCACGGATAAGATATATTCATTAATATTTATAAATTAAAAATTCTTATTAAATAATGTTTATAAATTAAAAATATAAAATCAATATGTATTACAATTTACCTATATTAATTTATTAAAAATGTTATAAAAAGTTTATATTGTGCAAATTACATAAAAATGTCTATTTAAAATTAGTATGCAACCCGTGCGGTGCACATAACTGGTAATATATCACATTATATTCATTTCAAAATAAGTATCATTTCAAAATTTTATTCAAAAAATCGATTTGACTATATTGGATTCCATAAAATAGTTATTTTGGTAAAATGTTATCATATATTTAACAACCTATGTGAACAATAACAATATATATAAAATTTATATTGTTTCATTACTTAAAATAATTTATTATTGTATAAACTATTCAAATAAAAAAAATTAAGTAGTTGAGTAATTTATAAACTATAAATAATTGACGATTTCGTTTACGTCCAAGTTCATATTGACCCGTAAGTTATGAATAATTATTTTTTACTTTTAAATTTAAATAAAAATCTTTTTATTTTTTTTCAATATATTATATACCAAATTTAAACCATGTAACTAATAAAGGTAGCTGCAACCTGCAAGTTTTATCAATATGTTATATTCCAAATTCAAACCATGCAACTAATAAAGGTAATAGCCGCGATATTTGACCAAAATGATTATGTACATTAATTTAGGCGGGATTTTTCAAATTTTGATCAAAAATATTACTCAATATAATAAATATCATTGCCTCATATTAATAGATAGATTATCAAATTGTATTATTTTTGTGCGAATGTAGGATTTGATATCATTGAATTGTTTAGTTTAACTTGTTACGTTTTAAACGGGATAATATTGGATTTTCGTCTACCATATATTAGATGAAGAATCCACATATATAGAATATTAGACATTTAATATTCCGGCTTAATTTGTATCTTATGCTATCTTCGATTATTAAAATTTGAAATTCGAAAATGAGATGAAAATGGCCAAATATTTGATGAAAAAAGTTATTAGTAACATTCAATATTCGTGCAATTGTAGAATTCAATATTGTTTATTGATTTAATTCTATTTGGACATGAGAAACGGCATAGTATGAAATTATTATATAGCAAAAATTATATTGTATGAATAATAATTCACATATATGGAATTCTTATCATATATGTATGGTTTTTAATTAGATAAATACAAAAATGAATCAGTGTGATTGGATAATAGTATTTTGAATTTTTGGATTTCAAGCTCAAATAAAAGCAGGATTATTCAAAAAAATCCAAATTCAGTAATTCTGAATTATTTAGGTAGAAATTTGATTACTATTTTAGGTTAATTATATACCATATTATATATTAATAGATATATAAATTAATAGATATGGATGTAGTATAACATTCAATTGACCACTCTGTACACGTAATAATTAAGGACTAAACAAAATACAATCAACATCAACACAAAGTAGACCAATTTTCATGAAGAAATCCTCAAACCAAAAAACAAAAACAAAAGCTTTGTCTCTTTCTCGTATGAACTCAAATTATTGTCATTAATCTTATATGTACAGAACATTGAGAAAAGTAAAAAAGATCATGCATTACATAATTAAAAGAATCTCTTCATCATAGCCTAATAACCAGAACTATCATATCACAAAAGATGATTTGGCCAACTAATATAACAAAAAACAAATCAATAAGAAAAAAAAAACACACAAAAACATACGATTCAATCAACTAAGAGAAAAATTAAATGGAAAATTTCAAGGGAAAGTAAGTAAAAAAACCGGACCTCGAAATACAACGGATGACTCGTCCTCTCCAGTTTTTTGAAAATAGAAAGCCAATCAGCTCTTCTTGGCTTTGTGCTCTTCACCCAAGCAGCCAACATATTATCAACATTCTCATTTTCACTCGAAAAACAAATTATTTTTCTCATCAAAGCCTTGCATCTATTTGTCATCTTGGAAGGAAGTTGGGATATAGCCAGCATTTGTTCCTGGGTCAAATCGGGAACCTTTTTATCAAATTTTACTGTCGGGATCTCGATCTCCTTTACCGCGTTTCCACTCACCCCACACTCGTTTATTCTTCCGAAAACCAGTAACTGGTAAGGATTGGGTCTTCGACATTTATAGTTCTGAAAGGCAAAACTACTACATACCGAATTGTATCCGGCAAACGGAATTTTACGCTCGAGCGTGCAATTAGAGGTGGACTGAGAGAATAAACTGAGGGTGGAATAACCCATAACTGGAAGTAAATCTAAACTGAAAACTATTAAAAAAATAATTCATTAATATGGGGTCCCTTAAACCCTAACTCTCAAGCAATAGGTTAAAGGTTATGAAATAAGAAAATGCAGAAAAATGCAAGCAACAACAATGGCCGGAAAAAAGTTAAATCAATGAGATACAATTTGCATAGTAGGGCTGAGGCAACATTCAGAAAATTGGGCCAAACTTGCCATGGATAATACTTTTTATCCCAAACGATGAATGATTATTGAAATTTAAAAGTAGATATCGAAGTATTCAATCAAACGCATCAAGTTTCATACAAATTACACAATACTTACAGCAAATAAAAAAAAAACTCTTCAAAATATTAACAAAGGAAATCAACCTGAGGCAACATTCAGAAAATTGGCCCAAACCTTGCGATGGATAATACTTTTTATCACAGACTATGCATAAATAGAATGATTATTGAAACTTAAAAGCAGAAATTGAAGTATTCAATCAAACGCATCTCGTTTCATACAAATTACTCGAAACTTCCAACAAATAAAAAAAAAATCACCAAGCTCTTCAAAATATCAGCAAAGCAAATCAACCCACCTCTTCGGAGCATCGACTGTGACACCAAGTTCGTCTTGCAGGAGCCCCACCGAGAAAAAGGACTTTATGGTGTCCGCTATGGCGTCGAATTCCAGAGTCAGCGGCAGAATCTCTAGATTCAAAATTTGGAACGTCATGTTTCATAAAAAGGTTTTGTGACGGTTTGACAGAAAAATCCCCAGGCGGTTGCGGTGTTTTCTGACGGCGGACGATGAGGGGGACTCCGCTCGCTTACTGTTGGAGATGTTTTGAGAGAAGGAAAGGTGAGAAGAAAATAATAAGAAGAGAGGAATTAATTCAAAAGAGAGATTATTTTTCCTTTTTTTCTCCTACGGATGCAGATCTTTTCTTTTAAAATTTGGATTAAAAAATTTAGATTGTAGAAATAGATAAGTCTAAATAAGTTAAAATCAATAAATAAAATCTCCAAAAAATCAAATTGCATGGGCGGGAGCTTATTTATTTTTTCGCCAAAAATTATACTAAACTTTAGGCGGGAATTGAAATCTTTTTTTTGCTGATTTCCTACATGATTTTGTCAAACAACTATCATTCCCTTTTTATATATTAATAGATATCATGTACCTATAGCATTTTTCTTATTATTTTTTATCGGTCCCATTCAATGTGAGTGTTATGTAAACTCCTACGTACAGTATATATACTTATAACATTTCTCTTGAAAATATGAATCATTGTGAATTTGATCTAAACTCAAGCATTTTCTATTTTTTTTTTACTGAGTCGGGCCGAATATAAAAAATGGATCTCGTCAAGCTCGAGCAGTGAAAAAAATGGAGCAAACATTACAGATTGTTTTACAGATTGTAGAATTTCAAGAATGTGTGGTTTGATTGGTGAGCAGAGGATTTTGTGGGCCCACATAACCCACAACAATTTGCACCATTTCAATTTCTGTACTCTGTGTTTTCATCATGTCCACAAACCCCTTTTCTCTGTCTTGTGCCCTCTCACACTCTCACACACACAAATCCATTCAAAGTGAGATTCAGAAAGAAGAAAGATAAAAAAAATTGATGGGCTTTAGGTGTGCAGATAAACTGAGGAAAAATTAGGCGAAAAAAAGCAAATAAATGCAAGAAAGAGGATGAATAATGTGCTATGCTGTCCATGGCCGCTCACACAGCTGTATTTTTATCTCCTTACATTTGTAGCTGCAAACTCAAGCCTTCACCAAAACCTGCTGTTCTTTTGCCCCAATCCTTGACTGATCGAAGGCCTTCTTACAATTCCCTCGTTTTCCAGGTTTTTGTACCTTTTTCCTTTTTTTTTTTTTTTTTTANACTATGTTTCTTCAAGAAATATGCTGAATGGAGGTGATTTTTTGGGTCAATTTTGCACTCTTTTACTGTTTTGTTCTTATTGCTGTGTTTGTGTTTGTTATTGGAATATTGAGATGTTGTAATTTTTATGGATGAGAAAGGTGAAATCTTGATTAGAGCAAAAGTATGGTGCATCCATAATTTATTATAAAAAATGCATAAATATATTATAGAATGTTGTATTATTTACATCGTGTATCTTAAATATGACTTTGAATGTAAAAAGTGTGTATATTTGGGAATATTATGGCTGACAAGCCGTTAGGCAACTCAGAAGACCTACGGTTAATTTAAAATTTTATGTGTGGTTGGGTAAATTATTTTTCAGGGTTGTGTATTTGTTGGGGAAAAACAAACTTGAGAGAAATTTTGTAATTTTTGAGTGATAAATGGATCTTTCTGTAGCTAACAAAACCTCCGATAAATAACTATACTTATGCTGTTGAGTTCATCTTGGGAATTATGTAGATTCACGAACTGTTGAACAACTAAATTTTATATAACCATCTAAAGTAAGACCAAGATTCTTCTTTGAGTATTACCTTAAAGAGCAAAATTTTAGCTCACGAAGTTGTGTCAGTTAGCTGTTTTAGTTAAGCTCTCTTACTTCTTTCCAATAGGCTGCACGACTTTTGGGCCCTCCGGCAAAGTTCGAAGAATCAAAGCTAAAGGTGTTATTTCTGGGAGAAATCGGCACGCCAACCAGAATCATGCCAAGAACTTACACTCTTTCACATTGCGACTTCACGGCTAATCTAACTCTAACTATTTCGAATGTTATCCCACGTGATCAGGTAAGTGTTCCCTTATTGTCTGTATGCTGTTACAAAATTTGGTTAACCATAAATTTTTTAAGGAGGGAAAAAAAGAATAAAAGAATAATGCCATGCCCCTTGTGGTTTGCATTTTTTCTCTAAACCAAATGATTTGCTGTTGAGTTTGAAACTCATAAAATGGATTAATATGTTGAGGTGTTGTACGCAACTTCGAAAAAAAGCTTGGCATCTCCTAAAGGCACTTTCGGTATTTAATCTACATTGAGAACCTAAAACATTTATGTAAAAATCCCATTGAGATGACAAAAATTATGTTTCTTTTTTTTATTTTATTTTTGGGGTTGGTCGTGCTATTGCAGCTGACTGGGTGGTATAATAAAGACGATGTTGTTGCTGAGTGGACACAAGTTAAAGGTGATTTGTTCCTAAATGTCCATTGCTATGTGAGCGGACCAAATTCTTTCTCATCAATGGCTGCCGAATTTAGATACCACATATTCTCTAAAGAATTGCCACTGGTAAGTTCATCATGTAATCATCATGTACGACTGATTACAAAATATATATATAAACCTCAAAGGGATAAATATATATATATATATATATATATATATATATATATAGGGATTGGTTCCAATGCATCCACTTATTTAAAGTGAGGACGTGAGACTCATTTTTAGCCACAAGATTTGGTACATCATGTGTGGCCAAAATTTACTCTTTTTTTTTATTATTTTAATTATTTAAATATTATTTTGACCCGTTGACTCCGGCGTTGACTTCCGGCAAAATTCGTTGACTCCGACGTTGACCGTTGAACTAACCTTCCAACTAGGTTAGTTCTCTGTAGTTGCTAGGTTAGTTCTACGTAGTTGCTAGACAGTTCTATGTAGTTGCTAGGTTAGTGTCTGTAATTGCTAGGTTAGTTCTCTGTAGTGCTAGGTTAGTTCTCTCTAGTTGCTAGGTTAGTTCTCTGTAGTTGCTAAGTTAGTTCTTTGTAGTTGCTAGGTTAGTTTTCTGTAGTTTCTAGGTTACTAATTGCTAGGTTAGTTCTCTATAGTTGCTAAGTTAGTTCTCTGTAGTTGCTAAGTTAGTAGTTGCTAGGTTAGTTCTCTGTAGTTGCTAGGTTAGTTCTCTGTAGTTGCTAGGTAGTTCTCTGTAGTTGCTAAGAGTTGTCCGCATTTTAAGAGCTGGACGCATTTGATCCACGGATTGGTTCCAATGTATCCACTTATTTAAAGTGAAGACGTGAGACTCATTTTTGCCACAAGATTTGTATGGTACATCATGTGTGGCCAAGATTTACTCTTTTTTTTTATTATTTTAATTATTTAAATATTATTTTGACCCGTTGACTCCGGCGTTGACCGTTGACTTCTGGCGTTGACTTTTGGCTTTGACTCCGACGTTGACCGTTGACAACTAACCTTCCAACTAGGTTAGTTCTCTGTAGTTGCTAGGTTAGTTCTATGTAGTTGCTATGCTAGTTCTCTGTAGTTGCTAGATTAGTTGTCTGTAGTTGCTAAGTTAGTTTTCTGTAGTTACTAGGTTAGTTCTCTCTAGTTGCTAGGTTAGTTCTATGTAGTTGTTAGGTTAATTCTCTATAGTTGCTAAGTTAGTTCTCTGTAGTTGCTAAGTTAGTAGTTGCTAAGTTAGTTCTCTGTATTTGCTAGGTTAGTTGTCTGTAGTTGTTAAGAGCTGTCCGCATTTTAAGAGCTAGGCGCATTTTAAGAGCTGGGCGCATTTGATCCGGCCCTATATATATATATATATATATGGAACATTGTAAGGATTAGATTGATTATTGAACCTCTGAGTTTATGTAAGAAGTTGGAAAGATCTTCTCTTTGATTATTTAATTTTGCAGGTTCTTGAGGCCGTTTTGTATGGAGATTCGGATCTTTTCAAAGAACGCCAAGAACTAATGGATGCTTTAGTGAGAGTGTATTTCCATTCGAGCTTCAAGAAGTATAACCGAATGGAGTGTTGGGGACCATTGAAGGATGCTGCTCGGGTAAGTCGAAAGCATGCAAGGAAAAAGTATTCGAGTTAATCGCAAAAATACCTTTCATCTTTAGCCTACTTGCAAATTAACCCTGGAGATATCGAAATTTCCGTATCATTAACTTGTGTTCTGCATATTCCATCTTCAGAAAGGGTTACTTTTAGCGTCAATTCAAGCCTCATGAGGGTTTTGGTGGCGACATTTGTGATTTTGCAAGACTATTGTTGTTGTTTTTGTTATTATTATTATTTGATTCTTGCAGGGCAAAGGAGTGGAACAGATTAATGGATATATGTCTGCAAGCAAAGATAATCCTGGTGATTCCAAATTTTGGGGGACTCCAAAATCATTCTTTCAAGCACTAGCTACATTCTTGCTCTGATTTATGTGGATAATAATATCTTGGATATCAAAAGGGCCCTGTTTTGGAGTTTCACATGATATGCATTCATTCTCATTCTATAGCTGGAATTGTTTTGAGTTCATTTTACTGATTTGAAGGTAATATATGGACAAAAACTCATGTCTGTCCTGATTCTTGTTTAAAGAAAAGAAGATTGAGTAGTGTATAGTGTGCATTCTAAAAAATTTGGCCTTAATACTGAAAAATGAGCCAAATAGAGAAATTTATAAGAATCAATAATTTAGAACATACATTATTAACAAACAATTCTCAACTCCCTTCGAAAAGAAACAGTCCAAACCAAAGACTCAGAAAGAAGCTCCTCAAAAAAAAAATCACAACCAACATCTCAATTTTTACATTCATTATCCAGAAGATATACAGTAAGCCCTTAGTTCTCTCGAAGATCTTCGAACACCAATAAATTCTTTTCTTTTCTTTTTTTATCAGAAAGTCATGAGATGATTCCATCGATAATCTTTTAAACCGTATTAAACTCCACACTTCAAAAAGACCTGTTCGGCTTGGGAGACGATGACTTGGCCTTAGCAAAATCCACCAAATCCCTAAAAAGCACATCCTCGGGCTTTTCCTTCTTATCAGAGGCTGGCGGGTTCTTGATCGACAGGCCTTGGGCCTGGCCCACTAGGCTGTTGTACATCGAGCCCGTCTCGCTGGAGGGTCCACCATGGTGCTGCTCGAAAAAATGCTGCCTCTGGTTGTACCTTGAGGGTGGAGGCGGGAGGTTGGCCGAGGGCAATTGGTCGGCCGATTTGCTCGGAGGGGCATTTTCGTCATATGTCGATTTGGGAGCAAACATATATGCAGTGGGGTTTATGAAGTCATCATCTTGGGGAGAGGAGGCCTTTTGGTTTGGCAATTGGGCCGTGTTTGCAGGCCCGGAAGTTGTCACGGGCCGTTGGGTCTCATAAAGGTCTCCACTTAGATAGTCCACGTTTGGATCTAACGGTTTCTTGAAGGATGGTGGAGGCGGAAGGATGGGATTGATTGCGACTAACGGCTTTGCACCGAGTCCTTGCATTGTGTTATCCCTTGTTGATCTAAGTACAAAAATTCATTTATACGAAATAATACAAGAATGAAGATCGATAAGTCTTCCTAAATGTGCACTTCGAGATTATATTCAAAGCAATCTTTTTGTAACTATATGATTTTTACCCGAGTGTTAAAGATGTTCAATAATTGTCAAAAGACACCAAAATGCTAGTAAAAGATGTACCTTCGTGCTAGTTGGGAAAAATCGTCTTCATGCTCATCATCCTCATGATTCACGTTCGTAAGTGGCGGGGCTCGATTTTCCCGGTTAGTTACAACAGGAGCTGCTGATAATCCCTTTGCAATATCATCATGCTTACTTAAAACCCGCTGCAAATTATCGTTCAACGCTAGTCCTCGGCATAAGAGATCCTCGTCTCTGCAGAAGCCAAACGGAAAATATAACCAGATTTATTTTAAGAAAAATAAATAAATAATTAAATAGATAATAGAGATGAATAGTACTCTTACGCGGTATTGTTCACGAGGACCGTGACACGCTTTTGGTACAAACGGCACTGGTCAACTATGTCGACAATGAACTCATCCTTCACACCCTATATGAAGATATCCGAGAGATAAACGAGTTCTAGTCATTTAGTACACGCTTAGACACAATTTTTTCCCAAAAAAAATTCGAATTCTTTTTAACCAATCACTTTTTTTAACTCAAATTTAACTCAACTTTATCTCAGACTCAGTATCCTCAATATTATCAATATAATTAAATAATAGCACTCAATCATTCTTACACATTACATCAAACTTTAATTCACTATCCATCCACTCACAAAATTTTAACTAACCGTCACTTCACATCATCTCTCTCCTACTTTTACATCAAATTAACTTTAAATATTTTATTTTAAATATTATTTTAATATAAACTCAAAATTCCACTAACAACTAATCACACCACTTTTTTCAAAATTAACCATATCAAACCAAAAAATAAAAACAAAATCAAAACATCGTATATCCAAGCATACAGAATGGCTTTTGTTTTCTAGTAGATGAGGGACTTTTAGTACGTTTGCAACAAAATCTAGGATTAGGTTAAATATTAATCTAAACTCGAGTCAATTATATGACAGAATCCACTGCAGTGCAGTGTAGATAGTTTGATAGGAACATTTTATTAAATAGTAAATAAACAAGACCCAATTGAATATCCAATTTAAGGTTTTCTTTTTTTTTAAAAGTAAAAGAAATGGGGAAACTAAGGAAAGAAAGAGTGAAAATTCTTTAGTGAAGTCTATACATAGCCATCATTTTCGAGCTTTATAATAGCACAGGTCAGAGAATGAAAGAGAAGTTAAACACTGATAAAGCAAATTTAACCTGAGGATTATTTGGATCCAAGGCAGCTAACATTTCCATCAGAACATCCGCAAGCCCATCAGCATTTTGAATCTCTGGCAAGCTGTAAAATATGAAACACGATCATCATTTTCAAGAAAATCCAAGAAAACTATGGAAGAAAAGTATACATAACATCAACTAGAAGTAAATATTAGAAAATAAATAATAGAAATAACAAAGTAGTTTGAAGTAAGTACCATATTATACTGAGTGGTGTAAAACACGAATTCAGTTTGAAGAAAACTAAATGTACAATCACTTCAAAAATGCAAAGGCATTGGACATTCATATTATCCACAGAGTAAATTTCCACGAGTATAACTTCATTCTTATTAGACACTTCTACTCATACCTAAGTCCAGAGACATCGGATTCAAGAGAGGCTTGAACAGCGGCTTCCTCATATGGAGAAGTAGTGTGGACTATTGGATGTGTTTGTGGTGGCGTGAAAAGTGGAACACTGTTTTCTTCTCGAGGTGGAAAATCGACCCCAGCAGACTACAAAATTAGATGTTTATAAGTTACTTCATATCAGCTGCCTCTGAACTCATAATTTTTAATAAACAAAATCCCAAAATTTCTTTGGTTGAAAAAAATANGAAAAAAAAAAAAAAAAAAAAAAAGAGAGACATCTTTACAATTCTCCTACGGCCATTATTTCAATAGGGTAAAAGCGTAACGAAAGAATTAGCAATATAAGGACATACGGCCAAGACATCGGTTTTTACTCGTCCGGGAATCAAAATATAACATTTAGAATTATGATAAATTAATAGACATTGAAAGAAGCAGAATAACTTTACTCACCTTCAATTCATTGTAAGCTGCATAATACTGGGGAAATTTTTCCCCAGGTCCCCCTAAAGCTTCTTGCCAAGAATCAATCAAAACCAGAATCTTCTCCCTCACATTCAAATCAGGCTGCAAATTCATCATCAATTATATAAAGTTGATGAAAATATGAATAAGGAAAGCGATGGAGGAAAACATCAGCAAAAAAAAATAAAAATAAAAATAAAAGGGTCACAATACCTTCTTCTTCACAATTTTGACCATATCATGTAATATGTCCCTCTCAGCAATCTGCTGAAACACATTTTCCCCACAATTTTTGCTAAGAGTCTCCAGCACCTGAATCATTAATTATCAGGAAAATAGTCGTAAACATACACAAGTGCACGCTATCAGAAGTCTAAAAAGTAACATTAATTCTATTAATAATAAAATAGAATACTAATAATCATAATAATAGGAGCACAAACTTACAAACAGCGCAAGGAGCTGTATTTGAGGACTTTTATTCCCCAATTTTTTCTTCAATATCTTCAATGCGTCCTTAGCTTGCCTGCAATTTAGATAGAATTTAACATAAGTGTTTACATCATTGAACACATCATCCAGTTAATTCTAAAATTTCGAGAGCAAATTACAAGTGAATGCGTACCCAGGTTCCGTGTTTATTATGTCGCATAATTCTATATTTATGGCCCAATCCGGACCAATCAGCATGTCACTGGTAGCCCTCTCAGCAACAGCCGCCCCATTTGCCATATTTCAGTTATTTTCTATTCACACAAACGTTTCAATTTCTAAAATAGACAAATCAAACCATGTCATCAGTTCTGGTGACATGCATTTACCAAGAAACAGATTGCACGCAATATGTTTTTGCAGATAACGAATAGAAATCAACTCACGAATAGCAAATTTTGTGAATTTCAACGAATAGAAGGTGATCAAAATAAATTGATGAAACACAGCACCAAGAACTGAAAGCAGACATATTCAGCGCACAAGAGGCATACATTTCAATAGCATCACCTTCAAATCATGAAGTGCCGGCACACGTATATATCAGAAATGCACGACAAACAGAAAACTCAAGAACAGCATGAATTAGAATTCGACGAACTCAATTAAAAGGGAAGACTTATAATAAAAAGGGGAAACTTTACTATACAATGAATGAACATTCAGAATTCATTCAGGTAACTACACCAAGAAACCTAATTCAAGGATTCGAACACACAAAAACAAACCGCAAACTCCAAATCATCCCCCCACCATAACACAATTGCAACAGAAATTGCAAAAACCCCTCCAAGATCACAACTTCTTTCAGAAAATAAAAAATTAAAGTAAAAAAGACGGACAACAATTCGAATTCACACATAATAAAAATCAAAACTTGCGAAATCAAGGTGATCGGCCAACACCAGAAGATTAAAAAGCTATAGACGGAAAAGAAAGAAACTGGACAGGATCCAAGATTACCTGCCAAAACCCTCGAAGTCACGTCGAGCCCAGAAGACGAATAGCTCAGGCTGTAAGTAGACGAAAACGAACGCGGTTTGTGAAAAGGGGTGATGAGATTTTTAGAGGAGAGCTCTGTGAGAAATCTTGAGCGAGTAATGCGTGATGAAATTTCAACCTTTGGAACTTATAACCTTTTGATTTCATGGTAAAAAAAAAAAGTTTTTAACACGCAATTTCTAGTTATTACTGTGTACTGCTTTAGTTTTTTATATTTATTCATTTACTCCGTGAGTCTCTATTTGTATGTACAAACTACAAGTAGCTAAAATGAATCGATTTGATATAGCATATAAGAATGGCTCGGTAAACCGGACAGGACTAGCTCAGCTTGCGGACCGGAGTTGGGTACAACGGTGAGTTGAGAAAATTAGCTCACTCATAGTGGCAGGTTGGAAGGCAAGGAGCTTGGCATTGGAGTAGCTCGGTATAACAGTAGCTAGGCAGACGGTAGGCCCAGGGGTGTTCAGAGCTCGGCGCAGCAGGAGCTTGCCATAGTAAGAGCTCGCTCGGTACAACAAGAGCTTGATATAGTAAGAGCTCGGTGTAGTAAAGAGCTCAGTACAGCAAGAGCATGGAAAAGAATTTGTTCGGAGTGATGTAGCAAGGAGGTCCTATAGAGAAAAGTCGACCTGTGATGATGCTTTACGAGCTAAGAGCCGACCTGTGGAGGCGGTTATGAAAGGTGGTCTATGAGGGACACGCGTAGAGCCAGAATTAAAAAAGAATAAATGATCCAACGCAAGAAGAGCAAAGCGTATTGAGGAAGCTAATAACTCCCTATAAACAGGTAAAATGGGGAGAGATGTAAGGTTGATCACACTTTATACCCTAAATATTTCATACAGTTCTACACATCTTTTTAGCATCTTTACCGACTTGATCGTCGGAGGTTTAACGCAGGGAACACCTCCCAGCGTCTTTGCAGGTCTCCGGGGAGCAAGCGGTCGAGGATCGTTGGAAGGCCGGTTCGAGGTGCGAGAGCACATCAATTGACGTAGTCTTGTGGTGTAACACTATTATTCTACTGGTTGTGAATGAAGTTGAGATGGAGCGGATGATCGGAGAAGAAGAAAGGTTGAGGAGGAATCTGCATGCTACCCTAGAGAAGGCTTGTGTAGCAACGACGTCCCAGGGTGGAGGGCCATCGGTTGTGGGAGCTGGAGGTGAGGGTTCGATGGTTACTCCTCAGATCATTTTGCAGGGGGTGAACCAGACTTTGTCGCCGGAGCTAGATCGGGAATTGGCTAGCCAAGGAAGGGGCAAGAAGGTTGTTGCGCAGACGCCTGACCAGTGGGCGGAGACGGTAGGAGGTGATGCAGGTGACCAAAGGGGAGTTGGATCGCCTCACGGTTGGTAGGGCGATGGTAGCAGGAACACAGGTGGCGGTGAAGAGGCCAGCTGCGGTGGTGGAGTAACCGGAGCCGGTGGTGGGCCATTTGGATGGAGGAGCGCAGGTTGTAGTCCCGGTGATGGAGCAGCATCTTCCGGTGGTATCTAGGCCGTTAGTAGTTGGTAGTCAGCGGAGGGATGAGCGAGAAGAGATATCGGTGATGTCTCCTATGGTAATCAGAATTGAACTCAAAATTTAGTTGACTCAAACTTATAACGAGCCAATCAAAATTTGACACAAGTTTTGAGTTTAATTTATTCATCGATATTAACTATATTAATTTAAGTCTAACGAGGAAAACTAAATTAAAAAGTTGATAGAATAATTAATTTCCAATTACATAGTTTCACACATAATTTGAAATTGAAATTTATTATAAATGCCATGTTTAAAACTTATAATATAAAAACATGCTAATATCGGTGTACTTTTAACAAAATCGTATTTCATCAATTACATTATACTCATCTATCCAAATCAGATTACACAATTACCGATTCATTAACTCTAATTTTACAAGCTCCGATAATACTCTTGTTTAAACACTCAAGTCAATGGGATAATTAATTCAAAGTCTACTAATTCTTGAGGCTTGTTGGATTATTCTTTGGTCTGATTTTTTTTTTTTTGTCTTTTTTGCGCCTTGGAATATTTATCAACGTGGAATGCGCGTCTTTGACCGTCCTTTATACCCCACCCCCTCCAAAATTGGTCTAGAATGTAGCACGATTTTTTCTTTAATTTTTAAAAATGAATATCTTTATGTTTTTATTTATACAGTTGAGTATGAACCTTTATATTGTCGGCTTTTATACTAGTAACTGAATTTGATTTGATAAGGTCCATCAAGTTAATACCATATGATAATTTTAATTAGGTACATGTGTGTATTTAAATAAATGACGATCCAATGAGGATTTACTTCATTATTGATGTGATTTAAAATTTAAGTTGTGTATTGATTTCACAATATATTTAAGTGTTCGTTGAAATTATAACTACACCGACCATGGTATATAAAACTGATTTGGTATTAAATCCAACTGATGCATCAATTTTTTTTTCATTTTTATTTTTATTTGCCATTCTAATATGAATATGTAAAATAAATTAGGGTGTTGGGTGTGGTTCTGGTGTGACCCCGTAACAGTTCACTTGCTTCACTTTTTATTTATTTAATAATTTAATTCATTTTGAAATGAAAGTTAGGGAATCCGAAATAAGTGATTGACATTGTTTCTGGTTTGACCCATAATAGTTCCCGTGGCTTATTAAACTGTAAAAAATATAATCTTTGTTCACGCAAGTCCACCTTGTTGGCCAAGGTTAGAGTTGGAATCAGGTCAAATGTATTACATTGACCATTTTGGTTCAATCCTACATTTTTTTTTTTTTTTAACTCGATGGGTTCAGGCTAGCCAGAACTAGCTAGGTACTTCGGGTTAAGCACTCAAAAAATTTAAATTCAAAATCTCAAGGTTTGAGCTTTTGGAATCTGGGTCGAAACTAGTTTCCAACAGTTGCAATTTGATCTCGCAAATTGAATTTTGTAGTTGTTGCAGATCCTCGATAGACATTCACCCATCTCATTTAAATGTTTATAAAACACTAAACTCATAACACTAAATCAGCAGCTTTTCAACAATCATTTATAAGTTCGAAATGCACTTATGAGTGTGATTAGTAAGTACCATATGCTATATAGTTTATTTTGTTAGCTTTATAAGTTTTTTGTATTCAAATAAGATTGGTTTGTCAGGACGGATCGAGTTTATCTCATAAGCTTTCTTGGATAACTTTTCAAATAAGATCGTCGAAATTTTTATTTTAGTCGACTTATCAACTAAATTTACCAAATGTTTTTATTACATCAACTAGAAAAAGTGCATCGTCCTACACTCATAAGGCTACAGTTCAGATCTGTAGCACCTTTATGTAATCTCCAAACTCTATTAGGGGGTGATTGGATATGAATTCAACTAGTAAAAAATTAGTTTTTTTTAACTATAGTTAAATTTGAAAAAAAATAGTATGGTTAGTTGTTAGTAGATATATTAAAATAATATTTAAATTAAAATAATTAAAGTTGATTTAATGTAAAAGTATGAGAAAATGATTGAAAGTAGTTAAAATTATGTGAGTGGATGAATAGTGAATTAAAGTTGATGTGATGTGTAATAATGATTGATTGATATTATTTAATTATATTGATAATATTGGAGATAGTGAAGAGTTAAAGTTGAGTTAAATTTGAGTGTTAAGTGAGATGTTTAGTATACAAATTATATACAGTCATGCAGTTAGTTTTTTTTTCCAAAAATTAGTTAAAAATAAAATTGTATGACAAATGAGATTCCTCAAGTGGACGTTTCTCCACCACAAATTAGAAAAACGTTCAATTAAATTAGGCTGCAATAATTAATAGAATAATTAATTCAAGTGTAGCATGTAGTAAATAGTATGAATACTTCGTTGGGAAAGAGGGAACTTTTCTAACTCCATGCAGATAATATTTATATGTTAGTAGACTTAGCTCTGTCATGTTCCTTTGAAACCTCATGTTCAGATTTTATTTGTGTGGCTTCTTCTTTAGCTCTTGAGGCTGTTTCATCCTCTTCTAGCCATGAATGGCTTTGCTAATGTTTTAGCTGTAGGTATTCTACTGCTTTTCTTATTTGTGATCAGTGGATCACCGATTGTAAGACGTTTTTATCTCGTTTCTTTGTGAGTGGAAGTTTATCTATCGTTTGACAAAAAAAAAAAAAAAAAANTTGTTTATCATAACATATTTATGTTAGCTGTTATTAATCTTTACCATATGCAATGAAGGGGAAAATGTTCACATGCTCACGATGGGCATATGTTAATATGTCCATCGTTGATGTGGCATGCACACATTGATGATGTTAATATGTTAAAAAAATACATCACCAATGTGTGGATGACACAAAAGTTGGTGAACATATTAACATGTGCCCACCGTGGGCACGTGAGCATTTCCCTGCAATGAAGTCCACATCAATTTGTTTTGTGAAGACATAATCAAGATACTAAATTAGTTTTCTCAAATAATGGTTACTAGTACATTACACGTGTATTCACTGTTCTAAAAATCGGCCTAGGCGGTGCCCGGGCGCCTCCGATTTGTACAAATCGGCAGAAAAAATTGGCCAGGCGGCTAGGCGGCGCCTAGGCGGGCCTAGGCGCTCCTAGGCGGCCTTGGCGGGCTCGGCGGCCAGGCGGTTAGGCGGCGTCTAGGCGGGCGTAGGCGGACTTAGGCGCTCCTAGGCGGGCTCGGCGGCAATTTTTCAATTTTTTTTAATTTTTTTTTTATTTTTTTAAATACTAATTACATTATTTTGTTCTCATGTTTTCTTTAATATATATTAATATTATTATTTGGACTTTGGTGTGTGAATTTATTATATGTTGAGATAGTCTTATTTTGTAGGTAGTTAAAATAAATAAAAAATAAGGTATTTACTATTAATTTCTGGGCCCCGACTAGGCGCCGCCTAGGCCCCGACTAGGCGCTCTAGGCGCTAGGCACTGGTCGAGCGCCTAGCGGGCGCCTAGCGACTTTTAGAACACTGCGTGTATTACACGAGTGTTGAATTATAAAGCTTTTAGAAAAATTATTAAATTTTTTATTTTTAAAAACTAAAATAATTTAATTTTATATAAAACATTACTTTGGATTTTAATTAAATTGTCAAATTATATTTTTTTAATCATAATAATTAAACACTCGTACATTAAATGAAAATATCGACCCGTATTGAATTCTTTTACTTGTATCATATAAAAATATCGATATTATTTATCATTACACAAGTACAATATATATCTTAAATAAATAGAAATAATATGGTGATATGTATATGCATAAGTGTAGAATATATTTATTTAATATTAAGCAAAATAGATTAGTATGACACATGTTACTTGTGCGAATTATATGTGTTCTATTATAATAAATTTTCTACCTTATAACATATAACTCATTAAACATAAATATATTAATTAATAAATAATTTTATTTTTTAATTAATTTTAATAAATAATTTTATTATTATTATAAAAATAAATATAATTTATTTATTTTATATATACAATATGGATGTCAAATCGAAACTCATAAAAAAATGATTAATTTGATATATTATATATGTAAAACCGATAAGAAATACAAAAGTTATCAACTTTTAAAATATATTTGCAATTCATTGGTTATAATAGAAAATGATATTAAAATACAAATAATACAAATATTAATTTATATCCAAGCCTAACTCCAAAGCATGATTTTTTGCCAAATAGGATTCCGAAGCATGAGAGTTTGTCACGTAGGCTCAGCGCATTCTGAAATTATATATAGAGGGGATTTATTATTATTATAAAAATAAATATAATTTATTTATTTTTTATATACAATATGGATGTCAAATCAAAACTCATCAAAAAATGATTAATTTGATATATTATATATGTAAAACCGATAAGAAATACAAAAGTTATCAACTTTTAAAATATATTTGCAATTCATTGGTTATAATAGGAAATGATATTAAAATACAATTAATACAAATATTAATTTATATCCAAGTCTAACTCCAAAGCATGATTTTTTGCCAAATAAGATTTCGAAGCATGAGAGTTTGCTACGTAGGCTCAACGCATTATGAAATTATATATAGAAGGGATTTTTAGAAAATCACATTGGGAGGAGACTGGAGTTGAGATAAAAATGAGATACTACACTTGTTTTGTACTTCGGTTCTAGAAAACTCTTGAATTAAAGAAAAAAAAGTTTGACGTTTGGAAATAGTTATAGGTAATAAGTAGAACGTCATTTGATGTTCAATTTTTTTCAATGTTGTTTGAGCTTCACTTTTTTACCAACTCGACTATAAAAAATATACAGTATTGGAAATCAGCTCGAGCTTCATCACCTCAAATTTTAAATAAATTTAACTAAAGTTACGTTCGAATTAGCTCAACTTATGAGTATTTAAGTGAATTACACTTATATTCGAGCATATATACTCGAACTCGAGTTTGAGGTGTTCGGCTCTTGCTTGATCAAAATGAAGCTCAAGCCAAGCTTTGACTGAGTGCTAACTAGTAACTCTCAAATTGCTCAATTCATTCGTAACTCTAGTTATGACCATCTTGGGAGGAACTACAAATGTAAAAGCGTGACGTTGCCAAAAGCGAAGATAAAAGGAAGAGAACAAGTGAATTGCTGAGTATTAAAGAAAAAAAAAAAAAATGAACCAAGTGCAATATTCCAATAACATTATACCTATAATCCCTCAAATTATATTTATCCAAATTCTGTTACATATATGCATTGAAATATGTTTGATGAATTAATAAAAGCATATATTAATGCCCGCAACAAACAAAGTGAATAATATTATTATACATTGCTTTACTCAACAGAATTTTGATTTTGATTTTGATTTGCCTCTTCTTGACCAGAAAATTGGCCAGCAACCACCAGTTTGCAAACCACCTTTTTTCCTGCATTTTCACCAAATTAACCAAAATTATACTCCCTCCATTTTGAAATATAAGGCATTTAAGGTTATTGCACAAATATTAAGGAGATATTAATTAATGAATAAATTGACTAAATTAACCTTATTTACTCTAATCACAACCACTCCACACTTCCTTAATTTCAACACAATGAGGGCATATTTGGAAAAAAATGCAAAAATTTGTCTTGATTTTTGAGCGCGCCTTATATTTCAAAAAAAATGAGAAATCTTTATACGCCTTATATTTCAAAATGGAGGGAGTAATAAAATACAAAATGTAATATACTTTTTTCCCCTCGAATTTGCACTCACAAAGTAACTACACACCTGCCACCGGCAGGTCCGGCACCACCCCCGCCGCTACTGACGTTCCCTCCACCGCTGCTCACGGTGGTCGTGCTTCTTCCTCCGCCGCTGGTCCTGCTGCTGTCGCTATCGCTCGACGCCGTGAACCCCTTCCTCCACCAATCCACCTCGCAGCTACCACCCTTCACCACATCAAAACTCGGAGAAACCCTACCGCCGCTAAAATCGCCGCCACCGCCGTAATTCTTCACCACCGCCACCGTCTTCTCCTTCTTCTTGTTACCCTCCACCGAAAACGGAAACGCCATTTTCAAATACATCCCCCTGTTCTCAAAACCACCAACCCTCGATTTCGCCGCCGCCGCCGCCCGCCGGTGCAGATCCGCCCCTCGACTATCCCCAATCGAGCCGTTTCCGGTTAATTCCCGGTGGCTCTCAACGAGATCCTTCAGCGAGAGCTCGTAGCAGGACTCCGGCATGTTCCTCACCATCTCCATGAGCTCCCACTGCCCCCGGGCGATGGCCTCCGCGCGGGAGTCCGGCGAGGACGAGCGGCGATGGCGGCCGAGGAGGGGGTGGGACGGGCTTTTATGGGGGCTCGAGCCGCTGGGTTTCCACGACGGCGGCGAATTATCGCCGGAATTGTGGGTTCCCATGGCCGGAAAAATTGGGTCGTTTTGCCGATTGGGATGTTGAGGAGTGTTTTGGAAGGTTTTGAAGGGGAATTTGGTGCCCATGTTGACTAAATTCGTCGTCATGCGTGGAATTTAGATATGATTTCGAGTGCTTTTAATATATTTTTGGAGGAATTTGATTTTGGGATTATTATTATTTATTTATTTTTGATTGGACAAGAAATTTATATTAAGTGATCAAAAGATCCAAGAAGGAAAAGCGTCCACCTTCCAAAAGAAAGGGGAGCTTGAAAACGAAGCAAAAGACGCAATAGCATGAGCAACTTTGTTTGTCTATCGATGTATATGGTGAAGTTGTCTTGTTGTTGTTGATGCTTCAGACAAATAAGCACGAATATCATTAGTCCATAAACGAGTGTAGCCACGTGACTTATTGATGTCGGCAACTGCTTGTACCGCCAACAATGAGTCCGAGAATATCTGAAGAGGAGTTTGCTTCAGTTCACCACAATTAATAACTGAGCCCGGATTACTGACAGGTCTTCCAAACGCGGATAATGGACTTGCTTGATCATTCCTAACGATTCCACCAATACCAAATCTCCCAGTTTTCATGTTGACACAAGCATCAACATCAAGTCGGACTGAGTTTAAGTGTGGAGGCTTCCAGCTGAACTTATTATCCTGGTCTTGGAGTAACTTAGACTTCCAGCTGTCCCCTGAAGCGATTTGTAAATTTCGAATTAAACTTTCAACATCTTCCACATTTTGAATGCATTCTCTTGGATTAGGGTGGATTAGGGTGGATTAGGGTGGTGAATTACTCTCTGCCTTTATTTCCAGACAAGCCAAGAATGTACTGCAAAAAATTCAAGTTCTCTCGAGGACATGTTAGTTTGCATCCAGACACACATATCCAACGTAGAACTGAATTTTGCCGATTTAAGGAGCCGGTAGAAAACGTAGCTTTTCCACAGTGGCAGCACACGGGGGCAGAAAAATACTATTGAATTTGTGGAAGAATCACAATAGGACTTACATAGCTTACATCAGAGAATAACTGGAACACGATGGTTTGCTAAATTTTGAGTTGATGGAATAAAGTCATTTGCAAGACGCCACCAAAAGGTTTTAATTTTTTGCGGAATTTTTAACGCCGAAAGAAATTTTCATCATTTTCTCATGCGTACCTCTGATTGATTTACGAGAGGATTGTAGAAGCCGATTTCAACCTTGTATCCCTCTCGAACCGAGTATATACCTTTCTCATCAAAGCACCAGTATCGTTCATCCTCTTTATCTGGCCGTGGCATTGGGATTATTATTATTTATTAAGTATGAGAAAGTGAGGTAGAAATAAGTTTGGAAATACGACGAATCTCATAATGTAGCTGCGAGGTGAATTTAATTTTAAATATTTAGGAGGGAAACCTGATTTTGTTTATTAGCAAATTTGTGTTAAATTAGTGAATTAGACATGGAGGCATGGTCAATCAAATTCTCCAGTTCGATTGCTTGGAAGTTTATTTGATTAGTTTTAAATCAATAATTATGAAAAACTAAAAAGAAACGAATGTTATTGAGAGAGTAGATTCAAAAAGAGGCAATACAACGTAATAATTATAAATTTTTATATTTATCAAACATTTATTTGATAAATCGTTAATTAAATCATTTATTCAAATCAATTAATATAATATGTTTATCCACAAATGTAATCAGCTATTCATTGCCTGTTAACTGTTAAACAAGGTCATAGTGTGGGCAGTCACATTAGATCACTTTCAGACACACATGTATCCACACGGTATAAAATCAACCGATAACAAAAAAAAATAATAAAGTAATGTGTTTGCACACACATGTAGCCATGTAGGGTTGAATTTTTTGATTTACATGTACTGTGTGTTCAATTTGTTCTGGTTTTATTATATATTTACTATATTCATTATTTCTTCTCTCTCTGCTATCCAACTTTGGAATGTAAACATGGTGTGAACGAGTCTAGATGCAAGGAAGACTAATAATGTCCAATGGTCTATTTATCAAAATAACCCTACAAACAATACTAATAATGATACTGACAAATTGAATTTAATGATCAATTTGAACGGGACAAGAATATTAAATTCATGTATGAAGTATACTAGTAGGGTTACGCCGTGCACGCACGACGGACTCAAAATTAGCCTCTAAATATCGTGAAATTTTGTCAGTAGTTGCATTGCATTGATCAGTTGAATTTTTGTTGAATCTTAATACTGGATGATAACCAAATAAGCTTTCACTATAATGACCTCATAATACAACTTTCTAGGCAATTGTTGTACTTCAGTTGTTGCAGCTCGTACAAATATTATGCCTGGTAAGTTAACATTGTTTGAAATGTTTACCAATTGAGAAGATCCAATTGTGTCTTTTTTTACTTATAATTGGTGGAATTATTCCAATTCAAAGTAACGTTGCATCTGCCATTGGAACCCAATGTCTGTTTGGGACTCAATTCTTGTTGTATCAAGGAAGATAAGTAGCTAAATATAATAGCATAATCACAGCACAAAATCAACCTAATTTTATAGAGGAAATTGTATCCCATACTTCAGCATAGTTATTATATTATAATTTTACAACCCTTAGATAAATATTTATGTAATTACTACAATAAGCCTAAAATATTGCTAATATACCTAAACTCTTAATTAAGGAGTTATATCATATAATTAATGGGTTACAGATTTTACGGCAATTATCTAAAACCGCTGCCCACGTTCATCTCATCTCACGCGATACTCAGAAAACAAAAATCTCCTTCATAAAGAAAAAAACTTCCTCAGTTTCCAAACCTCTTTCAATGGCGAAAACAAAAATCATACGCGATCCTTGAAAAAAACCGGCAAACAAAGGAGATGGAACACCACAGATAAGGTCAAGTTCCCGACTTCGTAAGATCGTTTCAAAATCAAAACCAAAACTCATTCAGAAGAAGCTCGTTTTTGAGAGAAAAACGAACCCTAATCCTAATCGCAAGCCCACCGGCAACATTAATAGGAAGACGTTCGACAGTATGTAATAGTTAAAAATTTTCGGTATATTATCAGTATATTTTCGGTATATTCTGCCGTTAAAGATTTAAAGTCAGGGTTTATATTCAGTATATTTTCGGTATATTCTCAAAGCTGTTCATATTATTTTGGAGATATAATCATTCCATACATGAACCAGATTTTTTCTGTATTGTGGTATATGTACAGTTTATGTTAGAATGTAAAGTATATGTACAGATATAATCATTCCATACACATGTCGATTAAAAATTTTCAGTATATTGTCAGTATATTTTCTCATGACATTAACAGGAAGACGTTCGACAGTATATTATCAGTACATTTTCGGTATATTCTCACGTTCGACACCCCACGTTTTTTTTTTTTTTTTTAATGAAGATGTTGTTTTCCGTCTGTTTCAACGATGATTATGAATTTAAATTCAAATATAATATCTTTCCGTCTTGAATTCTGAAATTGTGCGCTACAAACATGGAATAGTTGTTCACCTTACCTATAACTGTTTTAGGCATGAATATAATTACTTTTTATCTCTTAGGTATATACACAATTTTATTGGTTTGGATGGTAATGTTGCAATTACTTAAAAAACGGTAAGTATACATAANATGTCATAAATCCGACACATTACATAAAAGTCGAAGCTTTCCCACAACAAACGACAATGAAAGGAAAAAGAGGACGTGGTTCTTATAAACCCAATTGGATTCTTAACACAACACACTTCAAAAGAGTGAATTGAACAAAAAAATATTCTTGCAAAAGAAAAAAAAAAAGAAATCAGTTTCAGACACCAAGAAAAGCAAATAGAACACGTGGAGAAATGAAAATATTCAAAAGAAGCAACTGCAGCCGCACAAAGGAGATCAGAATATTAGATCATGAACTAAACCCAGGAAAGAAACCCAAATTCATAGTCCCTACAGCAGAAAGAAAAAGAAAAAAAAAAACTTTAACGCATAAATTTTTCTTACCTCCTTAACAAACCATGGAAATGACACAAAATTTTTTGCTTAAATTGTTCATAATAATATGCATATGGAATCTACTTTATCCATCTGACAAGGTACCAAGAAACCGATTGAGGACTGTAATGGTGGAGTGGAAGCCCGAATTATGCGGTTGAGTAGCAGAGCCTATGGGCCCACCATCAGGCGAAGGCAAATTCGTCCTGCCTCCATCAGCTCCATCAGCTCCAGGTTAAATTTATACACTGAAGCAGCCAGTGGAGGTAACACAACAAACAACTCACCTATTACTTTCCCAGACCGGCTACCCTCAAGGTGCACGCAGGCCCACCTCAAGGTCGAGGAGGAACTCCGGGCAACTGATTCCTTTGCTTTGGCAATATGACAAAAGAGTGGTCCGTCCAATTGAGCTTACAACACTACCGGTCCCAAGGATTGAAGAACCTTGCATTTCTGCAGAAAGAGGTGAAAATGTAAAGGATAAGATAACAAACAAAACTTGTATTGGAGTTCATTGCACCTAAAACCATGGTACAACAATTGATTTACGGTAACAATACATCACTTGAGGGTGGAAATATATTGCTATATTGAAAGAAATAAAGAAAATAATGCTTCAGCGTCTGCTTCTCCAAATATAAAATCTCAATTGACACCCACACAGAAGATCACAAAGACAACAATATTCACAAACAACTATCTCAAAATGCAATTCACACTTGGCCTGATGACTTTCCTTACCATGACCAGGCAATGCTAAATCACACTCTTCAACCAAAAAAAAGGCAAGGCAACAACATGAAGATAAGTGAGATAGAAGGAACAATAAATGGTTAAAAAAGCTACCCGATCAGGACCACTGAGAAGACCAAGCCCTACAGCATTGGTAACAACTGCAACAAGCTGAGGGCCAAATATATAGGGCCCTAATGACGCCTGAACTATGCCATACTCAAATCCCAAAATTCCTCTCCAGCCCATCTCTCTATGTCTCTTTCATAGAAAAAACCAAATCTTTAGCAGCATATATATACATATATATATATATATATATATATATATATATATANAAAGCATCAGGGAAAAAAATTGAAATTCAGGCTTTGGGACCAGTCGAATAGAAATGGAATTTGAATATCCTCTTACTCCTGATTCGAAATCATTACAGTGAGCCATGGCGTAAGCCTGATGACGTATGTTGCCATTTTCGCCATTGGCAACCGCTAGTACAGAATAAGCTGGTGCTAACTTATTGGAGCTCATAAGCTCTTATAGAGTATGTTTATACATCCATCTACTACCCTCATCTGAAAAATATTGAGCAACAAAGTTGCAAACTTAAAGGCTGTTAAAAGTCTTGTAAGATATGTGTTTGAGGACCCTATAAGTGTACTTAGGTTAATCTTGGAAGCAATATAGAAAATCGTCCAGTATCTAAAATGTGTGAATGGAGAATCCACAAACATAATTACAGCAAAACAAACAAGAACATATTCACAAGAAAGGTAAATTGTTAAAGAAAAACACTAATACTGTCATAATGACAAAAATGAGATAAAGTTTAGCTAGAGCACTTAAAAGTAACACAACGTCGTTTGTTAACTTTTGCCAATTGGCACTATTTAAACAAAATTAAATGAAAAAACAAAGGAAAAGAGAATATCACAACTGCTCATCAACAAGTGGAAAATCTGTAGGAAGCTGTAGTTTTCCTGAGAGGTATCTGCAACATCAATGGTGGAAACACAAGATATGTCAGACTAACTTATGAAGCGGCACAAAAGATTAAGTGACAAATAAAGATCAGCTTCTAATGTGTTACTTACAATCGCAGTTGATTATCCTAGTATAACCTTTAACAAGCAACATAATCCATGCTATAACTTGAATTGCTATTTAAGCTGATGAAGCATTAAACCCAAAATGTTTAATGCCTGATGTACACATATGCAGCAAATCTTACAGGTTATCTTATTGCTTGAAGAAGTACCATAGCAAAGCTAGTTGATGCCAGCTTGTGAGTAATAAAATAGCAAACTTACTCAGATCATATCGCTCGCATTTTTGGCTTTTCATCATTTCGGCCCGTCTGCGACTGGAGAATTGGTGTTCATCATCTGCATCCAGAACCCTTAATAATTTCCATTATCAAAGTCAGTCACTTGTATGGAGTAGCATACCAAAATAATAATAAAAAAATGTAATCTTTGCAACAATAGAAGTCTGAAAGCTTGTAACAGGTTAAGGAATTCATAGAAGATACCTACAAATCATAATCGAAGTTCAGTCTTGAAAAGCAATATAACGAAATAGACAATAAAAAATGCATATTTCTGTGGACTCCAGATGAAAGAACAAAGGATATATTAGCTGGAAGTATTGGCCAGCAAATTTCTCTCAACCACGCTCCTACATGGAATGAAGCTTTGTATGCATATGTAGACAACAACAAATCTGAAATTTGTAACCAAAAAATGAAGGGAAAAATTTATTAAAAAGGGTTAAAGAGAGAAAAATATACGCACTTGAGTATATCTAAAAGTAGAATTAGGCGCAGAGAAAAGAGGAAGAGGAGACGGAGTTCAAGGTATTACCGAACAACATCGCGCTGTGCGTCAACTGCGGGGTCGCAAAATCACGCCTCCGCCGCCCCCAGGATCCTGTGCCAGAAATGCTTCAATTCGGTGAAGAGCCGCGCCGCCGCCGTGGATAGATCCTTCAGATCCAGTCCGCCTGCGAGGTTTTCGATGGAGGGGAGGTTAAATTTTCCCCCGGTGAGCGGAGATCCGGAGAAGGAGGCGTCGGTTGTCTGCGGCCTAGGGCTTCGAAGAGGCGGTCTGCACCTACACTTACGAAGGGCATGGTGGAAGAGAGAGTTCATCACCCGCGTTTAACTCTCATTAAGAGGATATGAGAATTGAGGAGAGAAAATGAAGGACAACATTTGTTTTGTGTCTGAAATCGTGGTGGGATGTGATGCTTGCGTGTTTGACGAAAGCTTGTACGTGAAAAAAATACAGAAACGTGACAGCCGAAAAACCAGGCCAAAGTAGAAAGCAAAAAAGGCGTCTCTGCAAAAGTCAGAGAGTAAGTTACGGAAAAAACACAAAGAAATTTATTGGAACACAACAAAAACAAGGGTAAATAAGGCATAGAAAATGGCCCAACAGAAAACGTCCATAAGGAACGAAAAACAAAGGTAGAACCCAATGGCATAAAAGTAATAATGTGTGGGAATTGTGGACACGTGTCGACCAGCGAAAGTGTCGAAAATGGACACATGTCAACACCATAAACGGTCTCACTCCTTCATATATAGATAAGAGAGATATCAGGATTCAGAACCTCAATTATCAAAAAAGAAAAAAAAAGACCATTAATCGAATGTAATATTTTACCATTAAATTTTCAATAAAATACAATACTAATAATAATAATAATAATAATAATGCAACACCGTCTCCGTTATATAATAGAAATATTTTTCATTTTATGCATGATATTTAAATTAATTATATAATAATTAATAAAATATTAATAATTGTATTAAAACCAATACATTAATACGAATGCATTAGACTTTGCATATTATGTGTGTTTGACCATATTAATTAATATATTTTATATAAGACATCTTATAAACTATATATAATGATAAATATAAATAAATTTATTAATACATTTACTTCCCGTCTATTCACCATCTAGGCGATAGTCCTCATCCCATCGTCTGACGAGCACCTAACGATTTTTATAACACTGTTTTCAGTGAACTAATTTCTTAAATATATAGTGAGAACCGTGAGAACCGCTATTTTTAATTGTATGTAGTGCTATGATTGATTGTATTTAGTGCTATTTTTAATCAGGATGTATTTTATTAAAAATAGCAACTTAGCATTTGTAAAAATGATAGCACCATGTAAGATTAAAAATAGCATCATACACAATTAAAAATAGCATCAAATATGGTTCTCACGGTTCTCACACCAGAAAAGGTTTTTATTTGAACCACTCCCTATATATATATATATAAATTAACACGAAGATATGGACTTTTTACTTTTTAGTGATTAGTGATGGGTTTGAAGTTGTGTTAAATTCAAATGTGGCCACTTTTAAAATATGAACTCCAATAATACACATGATACACTATAAAAAAATTATTATATTCCAACAGAAAATCCTATAGTAATTTATTCCATTAGAAATTTCAACGGATATTCCAAGATTGGAATTTTAGATGGAATTTGATGATTCCAACAGCTATTTTTCCAACAGCATTTTACAGTAGGAATTTTCGTTGGAAGATGCAATTTCCGTTGGAATTTTTATTTCCACCCCCGTTGGAAAATCTACCGTTGGAATTATCAAAATCAAAAGGAAATTCCAATGGAAAATTCATTCCAACGGAAATTTTTTGTTGGAATTTCCGTTGAAATCCTTTGAAAAATTTCAACGGGAATAATAACATTGAAATTTGAAAAATATCCATTGAAATTGCCGTTAGAATTCTATTTGAATATATTTCCGTTGAAATTTCATTATTTTCTTGTAGTGATAAGTGTAACCTTTTACATGTTTCTATAGTTTAGTCATCAACTTAGGGCCATTATTTGTAGTTGTGTTATATTCAAAATGTGACCATTAAACCATTCAACATTTTTAAACATAGCACTACAAGAAAATGATGAAATCCAACGGAAATATATTCCAATAGAATTCCAGCGGCAATTCCAATAAATATTTTAATGCTATTATTTCTGTTGGAATGATTCCAACGAAAATATTCCGTTGGAATGAGTTTCCCGTTAGATTTTGACGATTTCAACGGTGGTAAAAATAAAAATTCCAACGGAAATTCCTACGGTCAAAAGCCGTTAGAAATATAGCCGTTGGAATCATCAAACTCCATCTAAAATTCCAATGAGAAATACATTCCAACGGAATATTTTCGTTGAAATCATTCCAACGAGAGTTATACCATTGGAATATCTGTTGAAATTTCCGTTGAAATATATTGTCATAGAATTTTCCGTTAGAATATAACTATTTTTTTGTAGTGTAGACTCTAATAATAAACATGCATAAATGTAACCTTCTTACATGTTACTATATATATTTTATATAAGTCATCAACTTAGTGTCATTCTGTAAATTCAAATTAATGATATAATTGACATGGATTAAAAGTCATAACAACACTACTTGACATCATATATGCTAATGAATTAGGTTGATCAATAAATATTTGTCATGGTGGCTTTCACAAGTGAGCTGCTTAATCAAGAAAAGTTGAAATGTGATATACTCCCTCCTATTTATAATAAGTGTCGTTTTGGGAAGTTGCATACTAATTAAAAATAATTTTTTTGCCAATAATAACCTTCATTAATGAAGATAGAGATGGATGTTTTAAAAAAAGATGAATAGAATATGAAAAGACGTAGTGTATTTATTAATTAAATGAGAGTAATAATAGAAAAATATGTACAAAAGATCCAAAACGACATTTATTTTGGTTAATAGTTGATAAAGCCAAAATGACATTTAAAAAGAATAGGAGGTAGTATATATTTTTATTGTATGTTTCCTCCAAACTTTTACTTTCATTTTATAGCATTTAGCAAGGTACATGAGCTAAAAATGATAATAACTCCCGTTGGAATAATATCATTTAATGGTTAAAAAGTCGACCAAATAATATTTTCTTAAATAAAAATATATGACTTTATTCCTTAAAAAATATACACGTATAATAATAATAATAAGAAAAACTGTTAATTAAGAATTCCCACCCATAAAAGAATAATCAGAAAAGAAAGAAAAAAGTGCTTTAGTAAAACTACCCATTATTTAAATGTTTGAACAGAAATGCCTTAAAACAGGGGTTTTTGTTTTCTCCTTAATTCTTCTGTCCTTGATGTTGTTACCCTCCAAAATAATTTAAGTTAAGATTACATGAGAAAAAAATAGTAGAAATAAAAAATAAATTTTTTAGTTGGTGACAAAATGAGTCCAAAGAATAGGGATAGAAAACAATATACATATTAAGAAGTGTGATATAGATCAAATTGAATTAAATATATAAAAAGAAAAATGGTTCAAATACAATAAATAAAATAATTGAGAAGTGTGATTAAAATTAAATGAAAACAAAAAAAATATAAATAAAAAAGCACCAAAAGTGCATTAAAAAAACAAAAAGGCACAAAAGTGCTTTTTAAACGAACACATGGGGCCCATCCCTTAATGAATGTCCCGCAACGCAATGAACGGCATTCTGCCATTTAAACGGGCAAATTAATGCTCCGTTGTGGATGCTCTAATAACTATCACAAAATGAGATAATTACACTGGCAGGTACTGATGAACTATGAGCATCAAAATGTTAAAATATTCATTCCAAAATTGAAAGAGAATACAAGCATTGTTAGCCTTATAACAGCATATTCTACTAATGTTTAACTTATTTCTGCTTTGGCCTTATAACTAGCATATCTAATCTAAAAGGCACACAAAAACCAAAAAATTCATAACAAGCTCCAACTCAACAACAATCACCACACAATGAGACTAGTTTTTCGCACTACAAAAAACATAATCGGAAAATAACAAAGGGGTTAAGGCAACAAAATTTGAGAACAAACATAAAAGTTAACAGAAATGAGATTGAATAGATCAAAACTATGTTAAGAATGTGCAGCTGATAATATGATGTAATGATGACTAAAAAACAATTCTAAAAAACACAAGAAACTTCAAAACACAAAATATAAAGACGAGAGAGATAAAATAAAAGAAAAAAAAAACTTGTGCGTCCTCTACAAAATATTTGGTCTGACTCACAGCAAAACAGATGAATATAAAGTACTTTTTTCATCCATCTTTGCTTCAGATACTCTAGATAAAATAGCTCAAAATACTATAAAGTAACAAAAATAAATTAATGTCTCATGAAAAATAAAACCATTCATCTAAAGAATGACTAACTACTAAAATAAAAATCTCAAACATCAAAGTAACTGGAATTTGTCACTTTTGAGTTTAACATGTCTGGACGATATGAATCATCTTCAAGGTGAATGCTATGACTTGTACATTTGCGCTTGTCGTGGCCCCTCTACCCACACAAACTACAAGATCGAGCACTTAGAGATATGGTTTTCTCTTTACTTGACTTTAGACGCTTGCCAGGCTCGGGGTCGCATACAAAAAACGTCTCTTTTTCTTTGATTTTACTCAACCGCTTGCTCATGCATTCCTTGTCATCAATCTCACCAACCTCCCATTTCCAAACTTTGAGCTTTTCCAGTAGAAACTTGGTTCTCGCCTCACTCAACGATGCATCATCGATGAGCTCTCTCGTTATTTTCATCAGCGCTCCACGCGTACCTTGCAAAGATTCACCTACTTCAAAATCAAATGGTGTATCATAAATAAGGTTACTCTTTGCATTTTTCGTCCACCTTTACTCCACGTACTTCTCAAGTACTAACATAACTTGTTCAACCCTCATCCAACAGAGCATGTGTCGACAAGGATACCCTTCAAACTCAAATTTTTTACAGCTACACTCTATAAATTCTTCAAGGACATCATATATCAAGTATCGCTGATGTTTTTAGTATTTACTTCAATATCAAACCTCCAAACTTCATAAACCCGAGAATCGTTTAAACTTGAGACCATTTTGCATATATAGCTCGCACTTTCTTCGAACTATTTCTGGAATAACAAAAATATAGATTTCGTATAAATCTCTGCCATCTGCTTTTCCATAGCGAATGAGGTGTTGATTCGCGGCTTTTCATTTAGATCAACATGACTAGCCATCAGTTCTTCATGTATCTGATGCGCAATAGCCCTACTAAAACGAGTGAAAAAGTCATTCAATGAACATTTTTTATCCAGGTACCTTTTGAAGAATGCGTGATTACTCTCAACTCGTTGGCTACTGGACATACCTGCAGCGAAAACACCCCTTACATAAGCTGGAACCCAACGATGACGGATTTCATACATTTTTAACAACCATCCATTACCATTCAATTGGGAATCACTCATTAACAAATTCTACCTCCACTCAAACTCATTGGGAGTTTCAGAGTCATTAATAATACCACTTAAGGTATGATAGTGTAACTTATGAAGAACAAGACCGAGCTTTTCTGGAAACTTATTCAGAATATGCCAAATACAATATCGGTGCATAGTGTTCGGAAACACCTCAGCCACAACAACTGATATAGCCGCATCCTGATCGGTAATAATAACTTGTGGATGTGGTTGATCTGCCATTGCTTTTATAAAATTAGAGAATAACCAAACAAATGATTCTGCTTTTTCGTCGCTGAGTAATGCACAACCAAATACAGTGGTCTGCCTATGATGGTTAACACCAACAAATGGTGCAAAAACCAATCCATATGTATTCGTATTATATATCAAAGACAACTACATTTCCAAACACTACATATGAATTTCTTGATTCACTATCAGCCCAGAAACACCTGGTGAAAACACCATCCTCATTTGTCTCATAAATAAAATAAAAGTTCTCATTCTTCTCATTTTCCATTTCAAATTGGTGAATCAAGGTTTGTGCATCATGTCCACTTAGTTCAACTTTACGTGCTGCTTCTTTATTTCGGATATCTTTCTCCAAACAGCCCATCATAGAAGGACCACTAGAATCAATTTCAAACAATCTAACTTGTTTGCATGTGGGGATATTTGCCTCCGTGTACTCCTGAACAAGCGCTCTTTTTGTGGCTGACCCACCTCTATGTGATCTCAACAAGTGAACCTTCTTAGGAGTAGCGAGCGGATGATTGTGGTTTTCTACAAAATGCTACACCACCCAAGTTTCATTTTTCTTCTGAACACTCATTCGAGCTGGGCAGTTACAACGAGTCTCTCCATGTTTCCGTTCCTTAGTTTCTGTCACCGCGCCTCGTTTATTTCGGTATGACACATTTGTCTTCCCTTCTTTAGAGCAAGCAAACATTTTTCCCAAAACTGTGCAAGCTTTTGGATCTTTTCGGCTGTTTTTAATTTTAGTTCTAAAATCCTGCACTTTTAGCATACTCATTAAAGAAACAAAAGAGCCTTTTCCGCCGATTGAAATTCTTGCCCTATCAAAGGCTTGACCAACAAATCAACTTGTGGTATGAATTATTCGTCTTGCTCACTCTCCATCCTACGTAAAACAAATATAATGAATGTCATAAATAATAAAAAAAATCCAAAAATCATGACAAAAATCTAATATTTAATATTCTTCGTTTTAATTTCATTGTAATAATATTTTGTTAATAATTACATGAAGAAAAAATATAAACTTAGCAAACTGAGATGAAGTCATAAACATTATAAATTTTGGGGCAAATAATCCTTGTATGAAAATTAGTGAATCAAATCCTTGTGTGAAAATTAGTGGATCAAATAATTTGAATACCTGCTTCAGAAATTATGGTGCGTTTTCAGGACAACTGGAAGAAGAGAGT